GAAACGCCTACTCTGTAGAAGTTTGTGAAACATTTTATCTCGTCAATCCTCCATTCTTCCAGTGCCTATTCAGTGGTCGGTGTGGTTCTTGAAAGACAACGTGAACAACATTAGTGTCGTCCGGAACCATTGACCTTAGAAACGCGCCTCTTCGCTTGGGGAACTGAGATGCGTTAATTGTTATTTGTTTCCTTTGCCTACTACAGACCATTCAATACCTCGCCTTCTGGGTGCCACCAACTTCTTCTACTGGGGTGTGAAGCGCGTTCGAGCGTGTGCAATAGCTCTCTAGGCCAAAAGATTGTACACGGATTACGCGTTCACAGGCATTTTTGGTCGGGATAGATGCTCCCACGAGAAGAGCGTATGAGATATGTGAGTAGAATTGGAAATGTTCTTGTCGAATCGCATTTTTCTTCCTCTGTTATCAACGCTTTTTAGCGTCATCACGAGACGTTCAATCATGATAAACTGGTGTTTAAAAAAATAAGCACCGAAAAACATGCACCGACTTTTTGCTCAAAAATAAACACCGGAAAAAACATACTTTAATTATTACCCATGTCACCATTTTGGGATATTTGTGAATTTCCAGAAGAACAGCGAGTTATCACCTTCCCCTAAAAATACCCTGACTACAGAGCAGGCGACCCGGTTTTCCCCGCGTCAGATTCCGGTGACCACTAACCGTACGGAGCTCAGAAAACGTCCGTGAAAAGTATAAAGGAGGCAAAGAACGTTCTACTCTGTGCGCGTTTCATCCCCGACTTCCACGACCCCAAGGCGGAAGGACGTTTGTGTGAAAGATAACGATAAAATAAAACTTCGCGTCAGAAAAAAAAAAGTACAAACAAGCACAACGCATTGACGGACCACGAGGTTGTGGAACACCTCGCGGTCCGCTTGCCATAGGACGGTTGTCTTCGACCCATAGCTCCAAGGTGAATCTGCCACGTGCGAAAACACGGAGACTTATCCACCGAGAACCAGGAAAGCGAGACACGCACGCTGACGCCTCGGCGTGCACAATGAAACAGGATACGGGCGCGGAATACGGCCGCAGAAGAACACCTTACGGCGAGCCTCGCACGGTCGCTTCTTGAGACCACCTTCGCTCCTCTCGCTAACAAAACCATCCGGGCTGGAACACGATGGCTCGATCTCACCAGGAACCTCAACGTGCGAAGCTTCCACACACTGTCGCTTACGAGTATTCTCAATCACGCACTTCTTTAGCTTTCGCTTGCCGTAGGAAGCCTGCTTTCGACCCAAGACGCCAGAGGCGAACGCAACACTTCCGAACGGCAAATATTCGAACGCACGAAACGCCAAGCGCCGCAGCGTTGAACTGAACCGCGTTCGCTGTCGCTCGAACGAAAGAAGATCGCGTATGAATACAAAAAAAAAATGTGTGAACCGAACTACACAAACTACGGACAGAGACCGCCATCTAGCGGGAGGAGAACAAAATGCCAAACACACCAAAATGTTTTTTTGTTTTCTTTTCCGAAAGAAAGAAACTCGTTTTCGAAAATATTGCTGTAGTTCCGAAAAGGATTAACCTACACTAATTATTTTGATACCAATCGATTCCGTATTAAATTTTAGAGGCACTTGCGCGAACACAACTGTTTTCTAAAAATTGGTAGATTATGTAAAACGTCATTAAACCCAAAAGTGTCAAAACTTCCGTTTTGAGTCGATTTCACGATTTAAAAATATATATTTGTGCTAAATACTGAGAAATATAATCTGCGCCAATGAAACAATTAAGTATTAATCTCTTTATCGTAAGAGTTTCAAGCAAATACAAAGAGCGGTTCTCATGTAGGAATTTTTTGAAAACGTCAAACATCTACATGTATTCTCTAGGGCGCTTGGAGGTAATATGCCCTCTTAAAACACTTTTAACTGTCTGTGCTTTCTGTTTTCGTCTCATTTTTAATTGTTTCATGTGACACGGAGAGGGGTCATTGTTTCATGGAGGCTTTCTTCTCGGAGCAGGATATGTTCACGATGGAACTTATCTCGTCTCTGCACCCATTGATATAAAAACAGAAACAAAAGGAAAAAAGAGAGAATTAGATGAAATTGTGTAGAAAAATTGAAGTAAATTCCAAAATAGTACAGACTGTAAGGTTGTTCGATGAAAAGGCGTTCGATAAAACGGCTTCTATGAAACGGCGTTCGAGGAAACGGCGTTCGATGAAACAGTGTTCGATGAAACGGCGTTCGTTGAAACGGTGTTCGATGAAACGGCGTTCGATGAAATGTCCAGACTTGTACGTAATCCGTTACAAGTAGCGAAATTACTTGTAATCCCATACATATATGAGTAATTTAGTAACGGAATAATTACATATTTTCTAGAGTAATTTTAAAGTAATTCCCTTACATTTTTTACGTAACGGATTCCTTGTAATCCGTTACATTTTTTCACAGGACCAACCCCCCCCCCCCCCCCCACCGTCCCTTCTAATGAAAGTTCTTTTTTTCGTAAAGTCGAGGAGCAGTGACACTGTCAAATGGACCTTTTTCCAGTAAGCGTCTGCGCACGCGCACACCCTTTTCCCTTGACCTTGACCGCCCTTTCGCCATTCTTGGGGGGCACTGTTTTCTTGCGACACTAATCTGTTCCTATGGGAGAAGGCGAGTCCGGTTGCCCTCCATTTGTAGTTGGCGGCGAAACCTCCATGAGGCACTCCTTACTGGAAAAAGGTCCATTGACTTGCGCAAAGGGAGGCTTGCCACTCTTCAGTTCCGCAAAGCCTTTTTTTTTTTTTTGCTACACCAAGCCCCTGAATTCATTTTTTTAGACCCTAAAACCAATGTCAAGAACTCCAAAAAAACATTTCTACAAAAAAAGAAGAAAAAAAAGGGGGGGGGCAAGTTATATCCGCTTTTTTAGTCCCTTTGTTTTTTATTTGCGATCGAAGACGGGGAGAGGAGGAGAGCAAGTGATTGTGTGCCTCTACGAGAAGCTCGAGGAGGTAAGTGCACAGACAATAACTAACAATGTCCTTCTCGGTTATAGTGACTAGGACCCTTTTCATAATGCCACGAGAAAACGCTCCGTCTACCCTAAAATCCGCTAAACGAGATGTGATAAAATGTGAAGGTGTTATTGGCCGCAAGCATCCTCGTTCGTTGTTGCACACTTATAACCTTCTCTTAGAAAACAGGAAATATTTTTTTTGTTTTTTTTTTGTTTTTTTTTTATTTTATTTTTTTGTTTCTTTTTATTTTTTTTTTGTTTCTTTCACCTTATTTGACCCTGTTTTAAAAGCTACTTATTATTATTTTTGTTTTTATTATTATTTGTTTTTATTACCATTTGTTATGATTGTTTGTTTATTAATATTATTTGTTATTATTATTATTTGTTTTTTTTTTGTTTCTTTTTATTTTTTTTGTTTCTTTCACCTTATTTGACCCTGTTTTAAAAGCTACTTATTATTATCTTTTTTTGTAGTCCAACTTCTAGGGTTGGCCAACTTTATTTGTAAATTCCAGCCAGGTTATCTGCACCTCAGACACACTTTTTGTGAGTCAGCGTTCTTCTTCTTTTTGTTTTTAGCCCAGCAGGACTCATCTTATCTCACCCAGATATTTCCACAAATTAAACAGATTGGTGTCTAACGTAGACTTGATATTCTGGGCTTGAGGAGAAAAGGAAACTCGTGAGCGCGGGTCACAGTACTCTGCCCTTCGCTGCCTAGCTGTGGCATCAGCGGACGTCTATTTGGAGAACACCGAAGTAAACTGCAGTCTGTTCGTGCTCCGTGCGTTTTTGAACAGCATCCAAAAAGGTACGTACGGCAAACGTACGTTTACATTTCCTTGTTTTAATCGGCGTTCTAATTAATTGTTGTTGTGAGTGTACTTTTTTTTTCGATTACTTATATTTATATACTGGAAACTTTTTTTCTTTCATTCACCAACGTCTCAACCGAGGCTTGACATGTTCAGAACCAAAGGAAGAAGAATATGGAGCCAAACCTTATTTATTATTCAATTATCACCTTACTGTTACAAGTATGTCTTGCTATATCCTGGCAATATGAGCCGGTATGGAGATACAACAATTCTTATCATAGTTTTGACTAGGTGTATGATGACTTCTACTGCTTCGCGATTTAGACAGTGGAGAATTTTAGTAGGTCGGTCCGATGACTCCGAGAAGGATACCCGATAATCCGCCGCCGCCTTCTCGCATTCATCATATTGTTATGGGTGGTATCGGAGGTATCGGAGCGATCTACTTAAACTCTCGAATATCAGGCGCTGGCTACAGCGACGAAGCTTTGCTCTATCTTTGAGGTAAATGGTACTTCCACTGCTTCGCTGCAGAAGCCCAATGCAGAGCATATAACATTCGTGGGGAACAATAGGGCAGTTTCATCCAGTGCCTTAGTTCAAAGGGTGTTCAGCGTAGCAGTTTACATACTGAATAAGAATTAGCGAAAAATGTCTGACGAAACTTCGAGAGTCAGCTGTTTCTCAAAACACTCAGGGTCATTAAATGGAACAGGTTGCAACAATAAGAACTTGAATAACCCTCTTCCCGTTGTTTCTTAATATAGGCTGTAGGACCGTTCGTCGAAAGACAATTCGTAGCAGAGCAACTCGTAGCAGGGCGATTCGTCGCATAGGGCAATTCGTCATAGGGCACTTCGTCATAGGGCAATTCGTCATGATGACAATTCGTCACCCTATTGAAAAAGCTTCTTATGTGTTTAATTTTCCCAGTTTATCAAGTATAGTGCTTCGAAATGAATATTCACGAACGGAGCTCCTCGTTTGTTTGGTACTTTCGTTTGTAGTATATGCTTAAAAGTTGGCCTAAATACTCTACTTCCGAAATAGACGCTAACTACTTCTGTGGGTGCACCACAGTGAGCTATAACTATGTCCTACTAATTTTTAGAGGACAACCACACAAATGTCAGTTCACCGAAGGAGTTTTATTCGCATCTGTAACTCTGCAAATACCCCTCCGCTTACAATGCTATACTTCTAGCGCAAGCCTCGAGGATATCCATGTTGTCTGTTCCATCGTAGCGTCCAAGAATTCTTTGAAGGCGCTTGTTGAATGCCACCTGCTTCCGCGACACCCTTGTGGCAGTGACCCCGCTTGCCGCTTGACTGAGCTTCATTTCGCTTAGGGCCTGATCCTTTTTCAAGGAGTCGAGGAACACCCAGATGTTCGGTGAAGTGCACCTCACGTTGCCCTGAAAAACGAGAATAGGAGCATAAGAAATACGATATAAAAACTGTAAATTGCGTATGCTAGATAAATTAAGTAGAAAGAAAATTATGAGCAATTACCTGTAGCCCATAGTGCCATGCCTCCACACTGTTGTTTGTTCGCGGCATTCCATCAAGTGCCGCCTCGTACACTGACCACAGTTTCGGAGGAAATTGAGCCGAGCTGACGCCTTTCCGACGTGGTCGACCGACGTACACGTCCTCAAAGTAGTCAGCCAGTTGGATAGCCTCCTGTGGGAATACTTCCAACAAGTCTTGAAATGCTTCCGGGATAGCCCCAACAGGAAAAAGCGCCAAGGCTGGGAGCATTTTAACCTGTAGTTAAAACAGTTACTACATAGGGTACACTATACCTAAGAGCGAGGCTGTATCATAAGAGAAACCGAACATTATTTATCTATGCATAATAAAAACCCTGACTGCAAATGCCTCGTCCGTGCTGTAACGTGCTTGAAATCCCAGCGCGCACAGCTTACGATGAACCGACTGGGCCAGGTGAAAAAAACACCCTTGAATTCGGATATCCGAAATGACGCCACGGGCAGCGTTAATAGTAGCAATCTCGAAGTCCGTGTACAGCACACGAACAGCGCAGGGCCCGACGTTGTCGATGACGACTGAGAAGAACCTGGTAAGGTAACACGCGATGAGCACGATTTGCACAACCAATCACTTCACGTTACAATAGCTAATAAGGTTACAATTATTAGTGGTGTACCTTCTATATGTTTTCTCGGTTTTGTTCTTCAGGGCATGAAGTGTGTACAACTGGTAGAATAGTGAGGGCACTACCTTAAACGTCCCATCACAAAACCAGGCAGCTGCACTCCCTAAGCACTCCAAGTTCCGCTTCGTAGCAAACAAGATGATGCGGTTGACGTCGTTCTCCCCACTGTCGTGTAGTAGGAACGCTTCCTGCTTGAAATTCACGTGTATAATAAAACTCCATGATTATGAACCATTTTCTCTAGTATTTTTAGTAAACTAACCTTGAATTCAGGTGGGAGATGGATATCTTCTGTGCTGGAAGGAATATCATAAACAAAGGTTGCACGTTGCCTCTGTCTTCTAACTGTACGTCGAAGTGTTGACGTACATGGCAGCTGTGATGCAGTGCTGTCCGTGATCTCTGCAGCCGCGTCCAGAAGAATCTGCTGCACTGGCGTCCGTCCTCCAACTAAAAGGGAAGTAGAAGATTACTATCGAGTACAATTTACACCCACGACAAAACACACTAAAAAATACTCATGTATTCTCACCTGCGCTCTCCTTCATTTCTGAACGAATTTTCAGATAGCTAACCTCGATTGGGTCTGGAGCATGATAGTGGTTATTTGCAGCCTCAACAACACGAAGCTTAGAGACATCAGTCATGATCTTTGCTTTGCAGGTCTCTCTTCTGCGAAATACCCAGTAGATGGTTTCCTCAGTCCTTCGGTTAGTAGTATATAAAAATCCTTCACAAACCAGCATCTCTCCGCCTCTTGCAGTCCCGATAACTTCCATAGCGACTGCGAAGATACAAGCTTAGACCAAATATTTTAAAGCCTTCGGCAGATGTACGAACATGTCCTCGGACCTAAAAGGATGTGGCTAACAAAGAGGTCTTCAAAACTTTATCTTGTGAGCCTTGAAAAGTTAGTTCCGAACTTTCCGAGAAAAAGATAAGCGAAATCGAAATAACAAAGGCACTGAAGTCAGCAGTGGGTCTAGGCAGTTGCATCATCACCAGAACGAAACGCCAGGGAAAAGCGGTAAAGATGACAGGGGCCGAACAGGAGGAAGAAATGTGGTAAATATAATAGGCGCCAAAGAAGTCTCCAAACTTCTGCTTGTGGGTCCTAGAAACCGGGCAAAGGATTGTGAACTCTCCAAACAGGATACGACTAAAGAAGAAAAGCCTCCGACTATTCTGAAACCCCAAAAGTATGCAGACAACAAGGTGGTGGTCGAACTTTTCTTGGAATGCTTCTGAACTTTACCATTTACACATACATGTTCCATGTCCCCAACCCCCGATAGCGGTAAGCCTTGAAAAGTTTGTTCTGAACTTAAGCGGTAAAGATGAGAAGCACCGAACGATAAGGAAGAAAGATGGTAAAGATAATAGGCATCAAAGAAGTCTCCAAACGTCTGCTTGTGGGTCATAGAAACCGGACAAAGGGTCGTGAAACCTCTAAACAGAATAAGACAGAGCACCGAGAGAAGCAAAGAAAAAAAAGAAAAAGAAACATCGGAGCCTTATCTTCTACACAAACTTCTTCTATGACTCGACCCCCCCCCCCCCCCCCCCCCCCCTTTGCCACAAATGCACACTCACACACGCCGGTTTTCGACAGGTTGCCCTAGCGACGAATAGCCGTATGACGAACTGCCCTACGCGACGAATTGCCCTGCTACGAGTTGCCCTGTTACGAATTGCCTTTCGACAAACGGCCCGTAGCCCCCGGACGCAGCCTGCCGTCAAGCAATAGCCGCCGATGGCGGCACCGACGGGCTCCCGACCCGCGATGCAGCCTACTACAGTAGAGATCAGTAATTATTACTCCAAGTACCTTTGTGGACCCCACCTTTGTTTGAGGGCCAAGGTCTGCGCATTTTCCAACACAAAACTGTGACCCGTTGTCCAAAATGGGCACCCATCTCCGTCATTGCCCTTGTAGCATGTGTGACCTTAGCCACGTCCCGCTTGTGTTTTTTTCATACGGGTGCAATGAGTTCAGTTTATAAACAACACCACACTGGGAGTAAGGATCAATTCGTTAGTTGATTTTTCACCGGTCACATTGCATGAAGGACGTTAAAACCATATTTATTCGAATTATTCTCACTATGTCATAAATGACATACTGCATGCCTATTTTAGGCTTCCCGTTGTGATGCCTACAGAAATATGAACACGGTAAGCCTCTCGAAGAAAAGTAATTTTTAAGTTACTACTTAAACGGGATAATTATTCTCGGTGATAGTCACGAGCTCGCTAAAGTGGTTTACCATGCAAGCCTGTGTCATAAAAGAAAGAAATACATCCGAAATATTAAAGCAGGCATTTTTTACTTTTTCCTGACTTTCTTCAGCACAAGATTTTGATTTCACGGCAAAAAAGAAATATCGCGATTAAAGCATCACTCGAATAATTCGAAGGTTAATCGATGAACTGCCCAGTCCGAATATACGTTAAGTGAGAACGGAGGGTGGTCGGGAAAGTCTCGTGAGAGTCGCTAGCCCTCACCAGTGAAACAGTGTAGCTACGTGGGACCGGACATTTCATCGAACGCCGTTTCATCGAAGCCGTTCCATCGAAGGCCATTTCATCGAACGCCGTTTTATCGAACGCCGTCTTATCGAACGCCAGGGTGGCATTCCCGCTTCCTGAAGCTGGTCGGAGATGCCCATCCCGAGTTCTGGAAGTTTTTGACTTGCATCGCCGCAGAACATCAATTGACGGAAGACAAGCTGGAAGCGATGCTGAGTTCCCAAGAGCCTCCTCGCCAAAAGAAGGCCATAGCGGCAAGAAATGAAAAGGTCCGCCTTTTTTTATGCAAGCTTCGGGCAGTAAAAAACTATCAAAAGAAAGACATGAGAGGCTAGGAGGCTCACATGGCTAAAGTTGTTGCGCCTGCGCAAAACCTAAGCCGCCTTCTGGCCTCCATGAGTTGGAGTGCGCTCTTACCGGGAGTGCGACTTTTTATTCATTTGTTACAATAGCCTCAAGGCCCATCGGGTAAATACAGAGGGGGTGAACTAATAAGCACAACGTGCGAAACAAACATAAAAATCGGTAAAGATATTCTCATGGGTTACTCGCATCAAAATAAATTGTAACAGCTACAGGTTTGGTCATGAAAAAAAAACCTGACGACGAAATGGGTGAATTACACGAAAATTCACTCGATCCGTGCATAAAAGAGCATATTTCACACTTTTTATTTAAAAGGCATTCGATGAAACGGCGGTCAGCGATTCGATGAAACGGCGTTTCATGAAACGTCAATTTTTTCGATCAAACGGCTTTCGACGAAACGGCGTTCGATGAAATGTCCGGGAACCGAAGTTTTTAATAATTGATGTGTAAATAGTGTCGGCTACGCCTCAAGCAAAAGCAAGCCCGTCGTCTGGAACATTTCTCCAAAGCGAAATGTTCCAGAAGAAGCGAAAACAAAGCGTCTGGTTCTCGTGGTTTGCCCTGTGAGTGTACCGAGGGCTCATTAGGCTGCATAAAGGGAACTTTATTTCCCGGTACCCCCATCGCTAATGATGGAAATGAAAAAATTTCGAAATGTTCCAACCGATAGCCTCCTTTTCATGCGTATATTTATACCTTTTCTTCGGCGTTCCATTATCTTGTGTTTGCTCTCTTTGTGTCTTGTAGGAGGTCGAAAATTCGTCAAGCTGCGCTCAGTAGCTTGGGCGCCCCGATCAATCTGGGATGGGAACTTATCGCTGCTGGATTTCGCGTGGTGATATTTAAGAAGGTCCGCGAACGAGGCAACGAACAGACACACATCCGATTTTAGGCAGCGTGTTACGCAAATTTGAAACTCCTGTTGGAAGTCGTGCTTCGATAGGCCTTGGGCGTCAATTCTTCCCCGTCCTTTCTGCTTTTCATCCTCCTCCCTCGCAATGCAAAGTAATATAGCTTAATTCGTTGCCCTTTAAAAACAGCATGTTACAAAATTCGAGAATGAAGCACACCAATATTATCTGAAGCTGACAAACGCGTTCTATGATCCTCAATGTCTGGTGTAGGAATAGATCAATAAATATTGCATATGTGAAAAATTTGCATCGTTTTTTTTTTTTTTTTGTGCGTGGGTTGCTTTTTGTGTCCTCTGTGTTCCCACCTAATTTGTTTCATGCGTTTGTATCGACCGTTACGCCACAGTAGAAACCTATCGGAACCTAACAACTTTAGGTAACTCAAACGCAAGTTCATTCAGTAGCAGAACACTAGCTGCTACGTCGTAGCTAGAGTTCCGTGTTTTCGCAGTTTATATAATTTTTCTCGAATTTGGGGCCATTTTCCTTCGAGGTTTAATTTCCCACACAAATCAGGTGCTTTGTGGGTGACTTTATTTAAGTTTAACCACTTTACACAAAAAACACCAAATCTGTAGAAAAATACTCGCTAAAAAAATTCCCCGCAATTTGAAAAAAAAAAAAAATAAAAAGAAACACCCCGGAACCGCCGAACTTCCGTGGTAGCCAAGCTAATTTTCCCTCCTTTCCCCATTCATTTTCACCTCCATTTTTCTCCTAACGATTTCACGTCGGTTGCTTTGAGGTGAGAGTTCACTTGTCAAGGTCAGAGTTCTCCCGGAGAAGGAGGGTGCAGCACAACAATGTTATCTTGATTCGTTTTTTTTTTTCTTTTGAAGGTTTAGTTGTCGAGATTGCAAGGTACCTTCTAATGGTGAATAACCTTTGCATAAAGTGTATTTAGGGTTTGAACATAAAAGAGTACTACAGCCACCGTGATTGGTTGAAATGTGTAAGCAGAATTCAGCCGAAGACTTTCTGCATCCAAACGGGGGCGCATCGGCATTGTGCTCTAGGCGGAACCTTGACCCATATAAAACCCGACTGCCGCCAGCCCAATAGTCACAGTGACTTCAGCAGTTACATCAAGCAGACTCTATTTCCGAAGGGTCTTCGAGTACCTGAGTAGCCATGGCAGAAAAGGAATCGCCCTATGACGAGTTCTCAGGGCTTACGTTCATCGAAGAGCTACTCCGTGACGGTGACGAAGACCTGGGACACAGCTGGCCATCGAGTAGAGGGTCTCCTTTCACAAGTACGGACATTGGTCATGACAACGGGTCTCCAGAAGGTGCCGGCAACGCGAAGAACGGTGTTTCCGTCGGCTCAACGATGTGCCGGGTGTGGTCACAGGGGTGTTCTTGCGGGGACCCCAGGGATTGCAGCTTGACAGACATCCTGCAAGAGGACGGCAGTCAGATCAGCGTGGCTACCGGAGGAAAGTGAGTGTGCGCTTGGATTATCGTTCACGGCGGTTCTGGTCTTTTTATGGAACCAGTCGCAACCTCCATCGTTTCTAGAGCGTTGCTTATCGTTATCACAGTGGTTTCGTCGATTCAATGTATTGTGCTTGTCACGTTTTGCCAAAGAACATGTATATAGGGGGTATTACTAATTGAAACTCTTTCGTCTGTGCTGAGCAGGTTTCCGTGCCTCCACATCGCCATTAGTGGGCTGCTGCAGGACTGGAGGTACCTGCTAGCATTGGACTTCTGCGAGATGTTCACTGACAAGAACCAGAGGTTTCTAACATATACTGGTAAGTTTTCTTTTTTTATTATTATTCTTCTTATTTTATGTTGAAAGGGCCTGTTCCCTCGAAGTATTTACGATATTTGGATTTTTACTTTCTCTTCAAGACGCAAGAAATCAACATTAGATGCTTGCTCCGTAATCGATGCTTAATATTAAATTTTTATTCGCCACTAATAATTCAAGTTTAAGTAAGGATGCGGATGATCTGCTTCGCCATGGATATTTAAGTCTTGCGAAGGAACAGACGATTTGAACAGAAATTCGATGCTTTTCTGGAGATTTGGTATTATACATTCCTCTCTGATCTTACGGTACCGGACTAAATATAATTGTTAATAATTTCAAAGCCGACTGTTTTGTTGTTCATTCGACTTTAGTGTTCCCTTGCAAAGCCAAGGTCGGTCTATTTGCTTGCCTTATCAGACAGATGCGTTTGCCTTCAAAACCAGTGCCATTTCCTAAACAATGGCGGTGGCCGGTGTCTCTTTCTGAGGCTAAATCTACCGCAAGAGGGATTTTGAGGTCACGTAATCGGCACCCTAGAGAAAATAAACTACAGCTTTCTTGGGTTACAGGCAATTGGTTTCCGAAAGTCCTAACTCGCCTCGACTGTTAAGGTACGATTTTGCCCACAGGAGAGAGGTGGAAGGCTTTAAATGGGAGTGACATGTACTGCGTTCTCCCCACGGAGCCGGTCCTGTGACCTCAGGATCCTTCTTGAGCGAACTCGTTAGGTATTCGAATGAATTGTGGACTTGAACTAATATACGCCCCCGTTCTCCCCCAGAGCCGTATTACATGCCACGTCCGAACCACCTGGAGGGCCGGGACTGGATGAAGAGAGTCCATTATTTTAATCTCACGTCAATAGTCAACGGTGGACTTCAAAAGAGCGGGGTGAGTGGCGTTGCGTCAATTGGGTTTACATTCTTGCACAGTTTATTGTTATTTCCAATTATGCGACGTGTGCAAGCTGTAATGACTGTAACGCAACAAATATATATTTGCATAACATTAACTGTGCTGTAGGCACGACGCGGAGTGCTTGCACCAGTTAGTTCGTTTAGTGGTGATTTTTTTTCTTCCTATTGTTTTCCGATGTCTGTGGACAGCGCGATTATTTTCCAGCGACAGCTGTTAAAAAGAAATACGATTCCAACAGCTTAGGACGTTGACCGTAGATATTGCCAAATGCTCGGAGGAAGGCTACTTCCGCCGGCTTCAGTATTTGATACTGAGACAGCAGCGTGTTAAGTGAGCGCCAAACCGCCGCTACGCCACTGCTTTGACAATGTTTTCAATAAGCTTTTTTTTTTTGGCAAAATACGTCATCAAATTTGGTCGCCGATAAAGACTAGCGCGTGTACGACGTCATGCCTAACTAGCTCTTTGTCGATGGCGCAGGACTCGCCTGGCAGTACGCTAAAACCACATAAAAACCGGTCATCTACATTGCTTGATTAATGTTTTGCTGGCGAGTTGTTTATTGTGGTCATAGTAATCGGATAGCCTGTCCTGTATGTGTTCTTGGAAACGTCCCTTTGCTCACTGACTAATCCTCAGGGGATGCCTTCTGACCTTCCGAGTTATGCGTATCGACAGCAAAAGGCTCCGAGTGTTTACGATGTCTGTCTGTTGTTGCAGATGACTCTGACATCCAACTGCGAGTACCTGCCTACGCTGAGGATCATGGCATCTGGACATGGCGCAGCACTCTCTAGTTCTCCCGTCGTTCGCTTCGCTCTGAAGAAAAGCGAGCTCCTGGCGGTTTCTCTCAAGAGCGCAGTAAGTTCAGCTGCTATATTTGCACCGAAGTTACTGCCAGTATATACACCTTTTGCATGTAGCCTTTCACCCAGCCACGGTTATCCCCCTATCCGGTATGCGTTCCGAAAAATAAAAAGCAAGAGATTACAAGACCGAACTAATAAAAAAGTATAGAAGGGTCATAACAAGAACGACTGATGGTTGCAATTAAATTGTTAACACGTTCTACTGTCGAGACGAGAAGAAAGCGAGGTTTTCACGCATACCGGAAGTTCCAGAATTGAAGATGGCGGCACCCACGTAGGAAAGGTTATAAGAGCAGGAAAAATTTCGATGGTCGCTGCAAAATAGCCTGGCTTGCATTTTTGCAGTAGCGCTCGATGCCATAAGCGAGGTACGGCTGCATATTCTAATGACATTTCAATGCTAATTGTTTTGATTGAGTGGAGATACTTGGCAAGAACTAAATTAGCATCAGTCGCGGTATTAAACTCAGTACATATTGTAATCCGGCGTGTGTTCTTTCCAGGCACCAAACAACATGGGGACTTCGGCCAGGGAGTTCCTTCTTGTAAGACGATCCGTGATGAAAAGGTAAGCTGCGAGTTTATAGTGGGCTCCGTGCTTTGCGCAGTGTACTATTAATTTTGATTCTATGACATGAGGCTGGAAAGTTGGGGAAAGAACAAGTATGAAGGGCTGTCCGCCTTTTTGCTGCATCTATGCTATCGTATGACCACGTCCCTTGCGATATCTTTGTTACTTTTGTGTCAGCTAAAATAGTGTGAGTTGTTCAGCCTGTGCGTTTTCTTGTGCGTGTCGGGATTATGCCTTTGCACATTTTGAGGCCACGGAGTGATTCATGGGAAGATGGCCGGATACTGTCGTTAAACTGTTCACGTTTTACAGACAACGTAATTTTGTGCTGCAGACGCTCTTCACGCTGGTGCTTTTTTTGTTATAGCGGCACGTTTTCCAAAGAGGACCTCGTCCCCACCTCCGGACACCGAGAGAATCAACGCCCGAAACTCGCGAGGGGTCAGCCAAGCTCGCAGCCAGCTGGAGTTCGGAGCCGCTTTCCCCGAACAGGGAACAGCCTCCGTCCTTCTCAAGACCCAGGTCTCACCAATGGCGTCCCAGCAGTGACCTATAATGCCCACCCAGTCTTGGATCCACCAGTGCGGTTCCCCAGCATGCGCAGGCCACCGCCGAACTCGCTCTCAGGGGCCTCCTACACGCCACTATTGTGCGTACGACCAGAGATGGCGGCTCCTCTTCGGTACCCGGTCTGTCCCCAGCAGATGCATGTAACACCGAGGCCTGGCGGGCAGCTTGAACAGCCCTTCACCAGGAACGGGATGTCCAGCCGGTGCAAGAGGAACTTCTTCAAAGACCGCGTCTTTACAAGAACCGCCTTGGACTTTCCGAGCGAAAGCCTGCTGCCCGGGCCTCCGTCCGTTCCACTGTGTCGGGCTCGTCTCGCTTCGCCGCTGTGGGTGAACTGCGATCTGCCACCCAGCAGCCACGCTGCCTTTGCTGGTCTATATTAGTCAGGAGAATACGTCGGCTTTGCTCCCCTTCTTAGGAGATATCAGTATCTTGGATGTAATAATAAATATCAGCATGCGAATTGTATTGTGTGCTCTGTCTTGTATGTTATGGCCAGCTATCGAACAACATGGGGACTGCCTGCCAGCTTAGCGGCGGAACAAGATACAGGAATCGCGTTTGTATTGCCCTGCGTGTCGCCGATTGGGCGCGTGCGTGGCCGAATGGTTACAGTGCATGACTGTCGCGCGGAAAGTCGGTGTTCGATTCCTAGTCAGTGGAATGTTCCTCTCTTTGTAATTGGAACTTGGCTTCCTTGGAAGTCCGAGAACATTACATGCTGATCGAGCTCCGAATGTTCTACGCGCCGAACGTTCTGTGTCGAATATTGCGGAAACCCACGCGCGTACATAAGTGCCCCCCTGTCCAGCCGGTGTCGCTCTCGCCCCAGCGTCCGATCCTGCTGTTACTCAGTCCTTCCTTTTTTCGTCACCTCACATTTGTGACAACATGGAGTGATGTAGAAACTACGTGTTAGGCTGCACCTCTGTACAAATCGCACCAACGGAATTTATAGTTTTTATTTGCCTGCGCGTGTTTTATCCGTTGTCAAACAAAAAAAATATAAATAAAAATCGGGCTTCGAAACTTTTTTTTTTTTGAGGCAGGAATTTTATGAGGACATACGTGGTGCAGGAGCAATTCCACCAGTGTAATGACGTCTTGTTAAAGATAGGCTTGATTTTAAGGCGAAAACTATCATTTCTTTATGATCAGATTCATCGTCACTATAGTCTTTAATTATTTTATGCCCACTTGAGCTTTCGCGTTTCTTGAATTTTCCCGAGTGCGGCCGTTCAATAAATCGGACCCTAGATGTGCCCGTCTCGTTCTCACAACGCACGATAGGAGGTACTCACTGCTTGTGCGACTCTTGAAAGGAGACGGTGGTGTCGGGTGACATAAACAAAGAAGTGAGTACGAACTCATGCTGTACGCCAGTTCGGCCTTACTTGGCACAATGCGAACACCAGCGCAAAGTGCACTCCAGAGCTTCCCTCTGAACCAATAAACCTATTTACCCATTTTGTTCTTAGCCCAAGACTGAGGCAGGAAAAGAGGAAAGTTTCAAAGTAGAAAACTTTCAAAGTAGAAAAACAGAAACAAACAAAAGGAAAGTTTCAAAGTAGAAGAAAAGAACAAAATGGTTAACATGCACCAGCTCGCCTGCGCAAGCACTACATTATCAATAAACCGAGACTGTTTGCTTGTTTTCGTGAAAAAGGAGTGAATAGTCTCTGATTTTGTCTTCTGTCGACACTTCCTAACTATTTTTGCACCCACGAAACCTATGAAACCCATTTTACATAACAAATATGACAATTTAATCAGACGTTTCGTCTCCCATACAGGAGACATAATCTGTGATACCAAGTTAACAGGAGTGAAAAGCACCACAGCCTGAAAAAAGATCTTCTGTGATTCAGCTTTTCTGTGGAGCACGGAGGCATCCAATGGCGGCGAGTCATAGGAGGATCCCGAAGAATGACGAAGCATCGTAATTTTAATTAGATGTGAAAAAAAAATAACTTTCAGCCTTTCCACTTTGGAGAAGAAGGAAGAGCCGCGGAGCTGTAGCTTCTGTTCTCGCCGGTGGCTTTCCAGGCGAGCGATCAGCTCTTCATTTGGAAGGGAATCTGAAGCGCTCGGCGCAGTTTAACTTTAGGTGATACCGGCCTCGCGGCGGTTACGAAACCATTCCCACTGCTGCGCACCTCGCCGCTCATTCCGTTCCCGCTCTTCTTCCTCCGAAGAAATGTTGCCGCGATCTATGAGCGATGGCTGCAAGCGGACAACCGGCAAACACAACACTCTGGACAGCTACCGCCATCTATGAGCGACTGCGGCGAGCAGAGTTTTGTGTCGACATTTCTTTGCGGAAGACACAATCCTGGGGAAATTAACCCTTAAAGGGGGGTGCAACTATTTCCTGACTTTCGTCAAAAATTTGTGGAAGTTGACCTCTGATACTTCTGAAGTAAACAAGAGAAAACCGATTTCACCTGCGTGTCCTAATTGTTGCGCAAAAAAAAAAAAATTGAAATTTCGGAAACCCCTTAACTCACTCCCAGCCTTCAGGGTCACACCTAGTCACCCTCCTAGTGACGTAGCTCGGGGTGGCGTGTAGCTTCCGGTGTGCTCCCTCGGAGGACGCTTCCTCTCCCTCTCTCTGCTGACATTAGCGGGCGTTGTGCTGCAGCTTAGAGCCGAGCGAGGTCACGTAATCTTTTCGCCGTAGTTCCTTCGGTTGCCACTTGGGGCTGCTGGTGGTGGAAAAAGCTCGACTTTTGAATAACCCTAAAACGAGCGTGTTGGTAAATATACTTAAACAATCGGAAAGCATAAACACAAACTCGAGACGAAAACAGACGCATACAACTTTTTCAACTCTCAACGACATTTATTTCGTCTCCGTTCAAACGACGGCCATCGAGCAGGTTCAGGGGAGGGAGCAGAGAAGGAAAAAGGAGGAGGGGAGGAGGGGGAAAAAAACGGGTTATTCGCATTTCGCGGCCTTCCCTCAAGGCCTCTGGTCTAATTCCTCCTCTCTCCTCATTTTCCTCCTTTCCATCGAGGACAGTCCTCCTCGCCCTTTGTCCGCCTTACGCGCCCCGCCGCCATGTCTGAGCCGGGCCGGTCCGGATATTAAATACGGCGGACTAGTTTTTTTTTTTCTTCAAATATAAAGAGAGTTTTGTTTTAGAACACGAGGAAACTAGAGTTTTTTCACCTTTATTGAAATTACAAAGTAGGGGAAGACGTCTCTATCGGCAAATAGAATAACACGAGGAGTGTTGGAATCACTCGGACGTGAAGACAAGCTTTCTCCTTTTCCGCTAAACGCAAACAATTAAAAAAAAAAAAAATTGAATTTTTTTGGAACATCGGCATGCACTGCGAAAATATATTTCGTTTACCCGTTTATTGCAGCAAAAGCTGAGAGCAGGCAAACGATAGAATGCACCTCTCCTCGCGTCAAAATAGAGTTTCGTGGGCAAGGACTGCGTTGCAAGCGGGAGCTCGTGCCGTCGCTTTGAGCATCAATTGGGCACGCCCCCGCAAGGCTGGCAATCCTCAGCGTACGCTCCACTGAAACGTTTTAGTATCTCGGACGAAGTGCGTCTGGAGATTCGGCATCGCTGGAGTGAGGCAAATAAATGACACCACTGTGCGTGTGAAACAGGACTTTTCGGTAATTGTTAGCATCACCGATCGTTTTGTCAATCCAGCAGCTTGGTTTACTTCATACACATTTTATAAGCGCCGAATACTACCCGCAACTGTGCACATGCGCGCGGTGGAATATGCGACGTCTGCTGTTCACGCGCCCCGTGCATAAAACTACCCATCAAATACACTCACTTGTATTCCCTCCGATAAAATGAAAAATAGCGTGTGCTCGGTTGCCT